GAAGTGGAAAATACTATATTTAATTTTTAGTTTTTACAATTATTAGTGTTCCATTTGAGTTTTAGTCGCGTACCTGCATCTAACCTGGTAAAATTGTTTGTGATTAGGAAATTATTGACGATTGTAAATTATTTGAACTCAAAAAATGAGCACACCCAAGGACGTATCAATCATTGTGAAATGGAATGGAAAAGAGTATCCGATAACGGATATCAGCCAACAGGAAACGGTGGCCATGCTCAAGCATAAAATATCCAAACTTACAAATGTTCAGATCAAACGACAAAAACTATTGAATCTGAAGTATAAAGGTATGTTCCGAAGCGTTGAAATATTGGAAATGACAAGGTACGATTTTTTTAAATTAATAAACTTTGAAAATTCCAAAACAATGTTGTAGGCAAAGTAGCTTCCGATGATTTACGATTGAGTTCAATGGAATTAAAGCCGAATTTCAAATTGATGATGGTCGGATCTTGCGAAGCTGATATCCAAGATGTGCAGAACACAGTCAACAGCGATTCAGACGACAACGATGAGCAGGCTGCTTGCAGTTTCCCCAACATGGAGGTTGGTATGCAAAAATGCTTTCGCTTTGAAGAGAAATTCTTGTCAAAAGACCCTAACATTTTATTCATTTCCCATTAATATAGCCAACCACCTCAACAAATAGTTATGAATTGAAACAAATATTTCAACAGCAAACAACTGATTCGAAGGAACAAAAAATGTTTGGATATAAAAAAGTACTAAAAGGAATCGGCGATATATGTGACGACGTAATTGATTCAATTCTGTATCGTTTGGAACTGGAAGATTTGGCAAACGTCTCCGACACAAACAAAAGACTTCGAAATATTGCTGGATCCGTATTTTTTCGAAAATATGGAAATCGTTTAATATCAATTGTTCACTTTCCAAAGAATGACTCGAATTACAAACCCCGAATTCTCTTCCCGATTTGTTATAAAAAAAACTGATTGTCAGAATTGGAGACGCTAAAGCTTGGTTTAAATTATTGCGAAATTTCGGAGAATCCATCAAATATATTCGCCTCCAATACGGAATAGAATATGATATGAGAACTAATTTGTCTATTTTCAGCTGAAAACATGTGCTGGAATACGTTTCCGAATATTGTGCTGATTCAGTGGAAGTTATGGAAGTGTTTGCTGAAAAGAGTTTCCTGTTTTCGTTGAATAAGCCATTGATAAAATTACAGAAATTCTTCGTTAGTTCGGGCGGCATAGAAGCATTGGAATTTAATCAAAACCTATCTACATTGAAACTGCCGTGTTGGATGAAAACCATAGAAAAACACTTCCCAAAATTGGAAAATGCTTCGTTGAAATTGACAGCAGCAAACGTACATTCTTTTATTTCCTTTTTACGCATAAACCGACAAATCAAAAAATTATCCCTGTCTATAATTACACCTGAACATAATTACAATGATCTTATATATTCCGCAATCTATGAAAATCTGATACAACTGGAAAAGTTGAGATTTAATATAGTTTCCATTCGCGAAAGAGATGTGACGAGACCAATTCCAATAAATCGTCTGTTCAAAACAATCGATACATTTGGGCTTGTAGGTTTACAGGAACCTTTTATTCCTTTTATGCAGTTCGAATTATTTGAGTTTAATGATCTCAAAAAATTGACTATAGGACACAGAATCTACAGCGTAGAGGATACATTCCATTTCATAATGCGCCATAAAAAATTGAAAATATTAAAATTGTATTGTTTTCTAAATTTTGAAGTCGATCAACATTTTCGAACAATGTTGAGTGAATCACGCGACTTGGTAAAAGTCACTATTCGTCCTGTTTTAAAACGTGAAGCAGTAAATTGGAAGTCAGCCTTCGGAACCGAATGGAAATGTATGGAATACGAAAGTTTCCACCCTAAACTTCTTATATTGAAATTTCTTAAAAACAACTGAAAAATAGTAATAGACTTTTTTGTATTCTTTTCTCGTTCCGTTTAATTCTTCCACAAAATGTTTATTTAGAATTTAACTACAAATTATCTGAAAATGGACTACAACCCACTACAAAAATTACTCCATGTGCAAGTTCATGTGCAGTTTTTTTTGTTACTTTGAAATTTACAGCATTCAAACTACATATATGTTGACGGAACCGTTACCTTATGATTGACTCTAGTGTAGATGATTAATTCGAACACTTCGATGTTGAATGTCATCCCAACCTTTTATTCGTTTAAAGTATCAAAGTTAAATCAGGTCATCCATATGAAAGAAGAAAATTCAAAGTATTTTTTCATTATCAAATTTTGTTTCTATTTAGTTTTGTCCATATTGTAATGAGTTCGGATAGATTTATTTTGATTTTCCTGAATTATTAGATATATATAGACCTCCCATTGGATTTTCACGAAATATCCGGAATTTTTATACGGAATTCGAAAAAATGTCCGGAGTTTGGGAGCAGAATATCCGGAAAAATCCGGATTTCTTTAAATATTGAAAAATAAGGATTAGAAATGTGCAGTTTGCACATGAAAAAGTGCACATGAAAGTTTTTTTTGTTACTTTGAAATTTACAGCATTCAAACTACATATATGTTGACGGAACCGTTACCTTATGATTGACTCTAGTGTAGGTGATTACTTCGAACACTTTGATGTTGAATGCCATCCCAATCTGTTATTCGTTAAAGTTTAGTTTTATCCATATTGTAATGAGTTCGGATAGATTTATCTTGATTCTCCTGAATTATTAGATATTATAGTTATCGAATTCAAATCAAGTGCTATTTTAAATTTTACAAGAATTAAAAGGCACCGAACGTTGTTTATAGTGCTAATTCCAATATAATTTTGATGTGACAATAAAGAAATTTCAATGAATAAGTGTTATGAATTCGCTACTTTTATTTTCGTTTTTCTCGCCCAAAAATTATACAATTTTTTTCATCAGACAAAAAATTGATTTATGGAATTTAAATAACATTTGCCTACTAAAATGATTCAAAGCTATCGCTGTCTGAACGATAAAGAAAGGGTTTCAGGATTAGACTGTCGCTTTTTAATGTGTGAGGACGTTTGAGTGACAGTCAAGTAGCGAAGGTGAAAATGAAACAATGTTTTGGTAGAGCTTTAAGATTAACAATGATATTTGAAAATAAGGAGAAACCTAATCCAATCTTCATTCGTCAAAAGAGAAAAAAAAAATGAGTATTGGCTTGTATGTAAATATGTGATTTTTGTGAGTGTTTAATTCCATACAATAGAAGTGAATGTTTCAAAATAGCAGATTGGTAAACAAAAATTGTATGGTTTTACTATCGGTGATGTGCTGTTCTTGCCAAATTCTTCGTAAGGTAATCTTTGTTCCTTTGGCACAACATATTTAGCCGATTTCAACAGTGAATCTTCATAGCCCAACAACAGTTGATCAACTGATATTTCAACGAACGGTTTAATCTTCAAAATATCCATGATACTTGCCAATCGCAAGAACCTTTTCCTAATTATCAAATCAACTAAGTACCAGTACCCAGAGGCCTGAGAAAAATTGTTGCAATATACTAATTAGACGAGAAATACAGTACGTTTAACAGAAAAAAAAATCTCGTTTCAAAGCACTTGTGTCGGTTCCCAAAGGCTGTCGCGTCTGGCATTCGATGGAAAGGTACATTATGCACAGAAATAGTCATGTCCAATATATGTCAATGTTTCTACAGGAAACAGATTTGTAAAAAATGAATTTGTGTTTGAAGGAAAAACCTTCTTCTGTCAACCAATCTGTAAAAAACGTTCTTTTTCACACTAGAAGTTAAACGAACATTAATCCTGCATTAATAATCTTTTGACGCCAGACGTTTAACCAAATCTCTACTTGCAACTGTAATATGTAAATCAGATGAAAATCCTCTAGGCAAGGTTAAAATCAGACGTATCGTTTTGTATATGGCTTTAGTTCGTGCTATTAGTAGTTGCTGTTTACAGGCAATAGCTATTTCTATTTTAAAACAGCAGCTACTGAGCTCGCAGTACAAAATTCAATTCCATTCCAGATATGCTAAGTCAAATTCGAGACTGATTCGAGTGGAATTCGAAAAAAAAAGTTGATCCACTGTCTCGAAGAGACCAAGTGTAAATTCTATGAAATAATGAACCTGAACCAATCAACAAACTAAAGCGGATACCAATTTTTTTGCAATATAAATTGTGAGATCGAAATTTAAAATACGTCAATAGTTCAATGTGGTATATTAAATTATTTATTGTCAAATTCTTTTTGCATTTTCAAAATTATGATTTAAATACATATATATGTTAATAATAATAATAATCTTGGTGATCTTTGTTATATGATCATATCTCTCGCTCACTCTCGTTTCTTTTGCAAATAATGACATAAAAAACACCATTCCCATTTAAGCCTACTGTCTGTATTGTACCCGTTACTATCTAATTCGTCGGTCCAATTCGGTTATATCTATATATGTGTGAGATTGCCTTGAATATTGACCCTCTTCGCGGTTGTTTTCTATCAGATGACAAATGCATTTATTTTCTAATTTTATTGGAAATAATTTTAGCTCTGCTGCAACGAGAGACACATGCACGCCTCAGATATTCACGGGATCCATCGTAAATAGATTCAATGCTTAGCTTGTTTATTGATTTGAAGGCAAGGCAGAGTCCCGAGACACTACTGAGTATACTCACTGAGTATTACTTAGTATACGCTATGGCTCTCTTAATCAGACAGAGGGGGTAACATCGAAATACTCCCCTCCCCCTGTACACATATATCCTTCTGCAGCAATAGTGTATTCATTAGGGTGTTTTCGGCATCGTTTAATCAAAAAATGGTATGCCTCATTCGATAGATCTCAGGATTCTTAGTCGATTGATAATATTTTTGTCGCGGATGGACTTGTGATGACACTTCCCGAAGCTGAAAACAAAAACAGTTTTATTCTGAATTTCCATAGTAACCTGTGACAACCAGATTTGATTTGAAATTTGTAAGCAAAAATTTGACAAAAAAACATAAAATTGAATCTAGTTGTCACACGTTAATATAGAAATTCAGAAGAAAACATTTTTTTTCGTAGTTTCGGAAAGTGTCACCACAAGTCCATCCGCGACAAAAATATTATCAATCGACTCAGAATTCTGAGATCTATCGAATGAGACTTACCATTTTTCGATTGAACGATGCCGAAAAAACCCTAGTGTTCATAGTTTTGGAATCATTATAAATATGGCAAAAAGATTATGAATATTTCAATTTCATTGGAAAAACTTTTCAACGATCTCATGGCTTTGCTATTGGTCATGATGTTCAAAACACGCAGATTATTATTTTAAGTAGTAGAGGTTGTTGGCATAGCATTTCATTTTAGTTAGTTATTGTACCGGTTCAATTTCGTTCTCATGGCCAAAATTTTGAATTGAGATCGATGTACTAGATTAATTAGATTGGAAATTCGGGGATCTAAAACGAAAATGGAAAGCTTTGTGTATCTTGGCATACACACAATGGGATCAAGTAGGTTAGTATTCCTTAAATTGTTAATTATTATTTAAATGTGTTACGTTTCTCAGTCCGTTGCATTCGATATATCGTTTTACATGTTAATTCATTGCGTCAAGTGACTCTATTTAAATGTATCAATTCGTATTTGTTATTTAGGATCACATGTGACTATGTTTTTTTTTTCTTGAAATTGCCTTAATTCGTACATAATGTTTGATTTGTAATGCTATCGATTTGTAACGCTAACGAGCATGCGTTCGAGTGTTTGTGTGGGCCGATACATAGATCAAGCGTATTGAATACATTTCATGTTTAATAACGATTAAATTATATTTAGAATGCATAAATGGCATTCTTTGTTCCTGTAAACGTCATGTATTTGTTGAATATTTTCTTAGTATGTCATGCATATTTTTGTTAAATTTAAACTTATCCATTAATTATTCTTACTACGAAAAAGAAACAATTGTCGTTTTTTCTTAATTGTTTGTAAAGTAACGATTTTTCGGTAAACAAATTTGTATGAAAAGAAAACAGTGATGCACACCGTTTATGTAACAACTGACGCCTGATTTGGTGACGAACGAGTGCTGGCAATCACACTCGATACTGGACTCGACGTAACAACCGGTCCTATATCCAATCCACTTTCCATATTTCTGCAGTACGACTTTTTGTGAGCAATGTACGAGCTCATGTATTTGAATTTAATGTCGCAAATGCGACAGTATTTATTATCCACTTCAGATGTTGATGCATTCAATGAAATTGAACCGGGTGCTGGGACACCGCTCAACAGAGATGTTCGCACCAATGAATTTTCGGGGAGGAATCGTTGTACCGAATCTGAATCGGCAACATCAGAGTTCTTCTCGTCGTCTTCGTTGTCCGAGATATCGACATTCTCAATTTTTATGTTATTCGCGACAGCATCATTTGTTTCTTGTATAACACTTGGTGGCCGTTCCAATGATTTCGATTCTGGTGGCTCCGATTTTACAATCACTCTGTAAATGGATTTGAAAAATCTAAATTGATCTTTTCATTCTACATCTTGTTCATCTTGATATGAAAGGTAACATACCTAGCCGAGTTTGGTCGTTCAGCTTCGGTTTCACACAATAAACTCTCGTCACCTTCTCCAATCAATGACGGTGGAACTGGTTCACCAGTTGAATGCGCGATTTTCATGTGTCGAATCTAAGAGAGGCTCATTTTACTAAAACGTTGAATATTTGAATCTATTTAGCATAAAAAATAAAACATACCAAGTTTCCTTTAAATGACGAAGAATAGCTGCACTTATCACAGTGATGTGTTTGTGCGGCGGTACTAGGAGCTGCCGACTGAGCATATTCCGGTGATGATGCTTGATTCGTCGATACAGAGGAGGACAATGTCGCCGTTTGAGCATGAGCTTCGGAATTTTCCTCGTCTAATGTGCAAGATATGTAGCTCTCTTCGTTGAAATCGTTTGTCTTTTTATCGAAATGCATCCGGATGTGTGTACGCATTCCACTGGAAAATAATTAAAAATTATATTATTAATTAAATTAGAACTTAATCGGAACTAGGTCGGTGAAATTTGAATCAATGCTCACCGGAGTGTATTGCCTTTATATCCGCAAATGCTGCACCTGAACGCCTTAGCGCCAGCGTGTGTTTCTAGGTGTTTACGAGATTCGGTTGCGTTTGCACTGACCACATCACAAATTGGGCATTTGTAGATATTTTGATTCGTAGCGCAAGGCTGGGCTGCATCGTGTATGGTTTTGCATTTGGCGCACTTGTCCCTCACCACCTGCTGCAAATGGAAGCGTAAAAATCATTCTATCCATTTATCCAACATTATGAAATTCGACAAAACATTACAACTTACCGCTGGAGCTTCCATCCGTTTTGGACAGTAGTACATTTGATGCGCTTGCAAATTATCGAGTGATGTGAATTTGATGCCACAAGCCGCACAAATCAGTTGTTGATAGGCACCGTGTACAGCCGATGCATTGGTTGAATTGGCTGGAGCTAGTGGCGAAGTAGGCGGGCTCGGTTTTGTTTTTCCGTCCGAATTTTCCTCAATATTTCTCGACGAGCAGTAATGCTTTTTGTGAGCCAAATAGTTTTCGTATTTACAAAATACGATATTGCATTCTTTGCATTTCGACACTCCTTGTTTTACGAATATCTGTGGTTGGACCAACGGCAAAGTAGCCGATGCACTGATTATCGGTTTCTTTGTAACATTGGCCACAGCTGAGATGGGAGACGTTGTTTTTGCTATCGGCAACGGAACGTTATTAGCATTTGCCGCAATATTCAACGCCAATTCGAAATTTTGACTATCAAGTAAATGCTGGGCTGATGAATTTAGTACCGCAGCCACGGAATTTGGTTCTGCCAAACGTGCGGTTAGTTCGTTTACCAAAAGTGGTCGAAGAATAGTTGATGCTGCCTGCGAATTTGGTTGATTCAAGTGAAGACTAGACGCAAGAGAGCTTGGTGATAGCGTTAGAATACCGCGCGGACTGCTCGAGCTTCGTTTTGGTGAGGGTGTTAATGGTGGTGAGCCTGGTAATGATGGTGCACAAACGATTTGTTCCGGTGACGCTGAGTTGCTACTGTTCAGCAACAGATTCTCCTTTCCATCATTCAGGGCGTCCATGTTTATTCGCTGTAAGTCACCCGATATGGAAGATGAGATTGATGCTGAACGCTCTCTATACGAACGGTCAATAGATAACCGCCGCACTGATAAGTCTAATGGCGTTGTATTTCCCTCTCTGGTGATAAATGAAATCAGGTTTAGATTAAATGCATAAAAATAACGACTTACATATATGTACAATGAACGTTCAGAACTTCGAATCGTCCAGAGAACTCAAGTGAATTTCAGATGAAAAATAAAATGATGGGACGAGTTCTTCAATCATTTGTGCCTACCGATTATGTGTTTCTCTTCGTTTAGAATTTTTCGTTGTGTCCAGATGATTCGGACTAACTTCGGAATCGCTTGGTTGAGACGATGTTTTGGCGACGGGCGTTTGTGCTCGTGTCGACGATGGTTTAGTTGCTCTTTCGCTTATGCTCGGCATCGAAATGGCCTGGGCAATTGGTTGCAAAGATCCATTTTGTAGGACGTAGCAATTCAAATCGGGATTCACTACTCCAGCCGATACACTCCTAGATGGATAAGAAAATAAATTAAACAATTGAACGAAGCAATCATTTAATCGTCGTTATGTTGGAAACTTACAAAGGTCCTGGCAATACGTTTGCACCACGGATTAACGAGTACGGTATTATGATAATGGGCGTGGTGGGTAGTGCCAAAAATGGTTGCGTGGGTCCAATCGATTCTGGAAATTTGCTATTTTCCTCCGTACTTTTCGGTTGAACGGTTTTTTGGGCGACTGTTTTTGCGGCAGAAGTGGGTGGACCAGAACTGAACACGATAAAAAAAAATATCAGAAAAAAATGCGATAAAAAACGGCATAAACTATTAATCGATTATGAATAAACATATATGCTGATGCTGATAAGTCAAAAGGCTTAGATTAGAGTAGCAAAATGGTTCAACTCGGACTTACTCATCATGTCGGCTGTGTCGACCGCGGCAGTAAAATTCTTTGTGGGCGCGAAATGTTTTTGTATTTGAAAATCGAATGTCACAATCGGTACAGTATCGGTCCACTTGATGCAACTGGATTGGCTGTTGCTGCTGTAGAGGTTGTTGAATCTGAATACCATTTAAAAAACGAGAGAAAGACGATAAAAGCAAATCTATAAATGTTTTTTTCCTTCCACATAAGCTATGTGATGTCGATATATGTGATTAAAAGTTATGCAAAATGAATGTGAAAAAAACAACATGCAAAAAAAGGAATTGTCAATAAAAAATAGTTTTTACTTGACTAGAACAATCGTCACCATTGGATGTGACCGAACTGTTTGTTGGTGATGTTTGATGCATTCGCATGTGACGATTTAATGAAACTTTCTTATCAGCGCTGTACGAGCATTGATTACATCCATATTGTTTGGTGGTACGAACGGTTGTTTTTGTTGCTGATGATTCTGTGCTGCTGCCGTCGTCGACTAATATCACTTTCAGTGGATTATTCGAGTCTTCGGTATCTTTTTTGCTGTAACGCATGGGAGAGAAGAATATAAATATGAAAATGAAAAAAAACAGCGATTCGATTATTCGAACGAGTAGAATTGTCCAAATTGATTTTCCATTTTGAAGCTTCCACTGGATTTATCAACGTGAGTCAATCAGACATACACACACATACACAAACAATGCTTGCGTACTATTTACCTGTGAGTACAGTAGAATGTTTGGTGAGCCTCGAGTGTTGACATGGATGAAAATTTGATGCCACAAGGTGCACAAATAAATGCGGGCACCCTGGGAATGATATCGTTTGGGTTAACATTCGATTGTTGCAAATTAACAACAAATTTATTTCCTGACGACCGGAACGTGGAATCATGCCGTTTTCGAATCTTTTCAGGCGGTGGTCCATTATCATCGTGCACGAGTATGGGTGACGATGCTGAATCATCTCGCATTTCATCATCACAATTTGATTCGGTTTCGTAATTTTCAACCGCGCTGGCTCGTATACTTTGTATATCTTTTGCTTCTGGTTGCAATGCCGGATCCGATGCAAGTGTAATGTTCAATCGCAATTTTGGTAGCTCGCTATTGGTATGCAATTGATTCAGCTGCTCCGCAGCAGCAGCGGCCTTCTTCTCACATTTTATATCGATCGGTAAGGTTGGCGATGCAATGGGTGTAGTCGATGTGACAGGAGTGCTGCTGTGCGAACTCGTTTCTAATGATAATGGCGATGCATCATTCGCAGGCGTATCTTTTTTATCACTTTCGCTAATTGATTGTGACCGCGCTAATGTGTTATCGTCGCTGGCCACTGTACTCTGTTCGTCGTCTATTTCGGTTGAAATGCTCTCTGGATCTGTAATGGTAGCAAAAAGAAGAGAAAAAAGAAAATATAGAGACACAGTCCATTTTACATTATTCACTGTTTTCCACACCATCGTCGTTACGCTACACTATAGATTATTATTTGAAACGTTTATGGAAGCCGTAAAACTTTGTGTCGTAATAAAAATGTGTACGAGAGTGCAATTTAACCATCTTTAAAGGAAAATGCAACGTAATAACACATCAACTAGATCAGATTTGAGCGCTATCAGACACTCTGTAAAAATTTCAGGAACTGCTTGAGTGTTTTAAATCACCCACTCCCCTATTAATACACTCAAGTTCCATTTCAGACAAAAAGAATCAATCTAAAATTTTCAAACGATTGTTTTGAATAACGCAAAATTGCTGTCTTTTCAAAATCCTTTAATTTTTGTATCGATTCCATTTGATTGAACACTTTATTCGCTCAAATTTACAGTTTTATTTGGAAATGCATAAAAAATCATTCTATTTTATGTGAACGATTCTCTCGAGCACTAGTGTCGTCAGCTCAGTGAATGTGCTGGAGACTCAACCATCTTTTGTTGTCGCCGAGTAGATTATGTTCGAACGAAATTGCTCCATCGATGAGTTTGCACACAAGAGTGGAAATGGGTGAGAAAACGCAATGTTTACGAGAATGCAATAGATTATGTCATGATTTTAATTCGCCTCATATCGAAAATTTACATAAAACATAGAACGAGCTGAAGCTCCAATTTATAAACATATTTTGCATTCATCCGCCGATATCGAGAGCTCAAAATCTTTAAATTATTTTCTGGCTCGCATAAATTTCAAAGATTATTTTTCTATCGCTTTCTCCATACCGCACATACACATACACACACACACACACTCTCTCTCTCTCTCTCTCTCTCTCTCTCTCTCGCTCTATTGCACTAGCAATCGTTGGCATTTGCCACCCCTTGTGCCAATCGAGACGATAGAAAAAGGCCATCCATAAAGAGAAAACCCGAAGAGAGAGATCAGCCAGCAAGTTGCAATCCAGAATGAAAATGTAATTTTTACACGAACAACAAAACCGATACACATTTTAAATCTATTGGCATGTCATGGAGCTTGCCGTATGCAAATTGTTGATACAGAGAGCGAGAATGTGTGCATGGCGAACAGAAACGAAAGGAAACGAAACGGCGAGAAAAAATATTGATGGAATGAGATGAACGAGACGTATATGTCCTAAGTCTATGGTAAAATACCAGAACTTTTTGCATATCGGATTTTAAATAATTTCTTCTTTTATGGAAGCGGGCGAGAGCTGGAGAAAAAGAGGTTATGAGGGACAAGCAGATGGAATGCGACGATGAATGCATGAAAGTATGTTGTGAAATTGAATGTATACTCGGAGAAAATTTAGTTCCATTCTGAATCGGGTTCGTTTTTGCTCTCTCTCTCTCTCGCTCTCGCTCCTTCTCGTTCAACTCACAAAGTCGAGACGATATAAATTGAAGGGGAGGAAATTAGGATGGTTTGGTGTGTACACAATTTATAAGCACTTACACAACATCACAAAGAACTGGAACGGAGATCAATTTTAGATTTTCGCTTAGAATTTATCGTTTCCGGTTGTCATTTTTTTCTCTCTCACTCGCTCTCTCTCCGTCTCACTTAAGCACATGCACCCAGAGCAAGAGTAAAATTTTCTGTGCACTCTCAGTTCACATTTGAATTTAAACAAGCTAATGGTATTTTTCAATATTCGTCGTATTTGCATACGCCTTCATTATTAGAATTTGATGCATATGCAATGTGCATTGTGCACTCCACTATTTAAGATAACAAATATTGATTTGTTTCCATCGAAAGTGGTATGCGATTTTCCTTTTTTTTCGTTTTTTCTTATCGTGTTCAGTGAAGCCATCCTGTGTGCCCGTTAACTCAAATGACATAACCAAAAAGCCAATCAGAGGAAATCAGTAAGCTTAACCGCGTCGAAGAAACGCTAATCCATTGAAATGAATGTCTTAATTAAGCCTATAAACGGCAGTGTGTCGTTGCTAATTTATGTTCCTAGAATCGAACGAAGAGAAGAAAAAAACCACCAGACAAACTGATCGAAATAACACGAATGGCGTGTACTTCATTGGACACGATTCCTTTCACATTTACATTCTGGTTGATGCAATATGATGTCACCGATCTCTGAACTTTATGCATCACTCCGTGTTGTGCTGGTGTCTCAATGTGTGAGATTGAGCAACTGAAATATGCAGAATATTCAAATTTATTTTTCCAAGTGAGTTGCGATTCGTTGAGGAGTTTTTTTTTTCAAAGGCCAAACTATTGGCCATGCAAACAAAAGTCACTCGTAGCCAATTTCAATGCAATCGAAACGGTGCTGTCTTCACGCAAAATGTGTCATCGGAAGAGAGAAACCTCTATGGTTTTTCGAATATGTGCTTTAAATGAATTTGTGGTACGAAGGAATAGCGTTTGTCACTTTTGTGATCAATCGACAGCATTGCAAAGCATGAAGCCTATCGCGTTTATCGCGTGTACCAAGTTAGTTTTTTTTTCTCTGCTCATTTGTGAGGCATTGAGAAACAAGTACAATGTTAACATGATCGGAATGTTTTTTTTTCCATTCGTTCGTTCGTTCGTCTTGCTTGTTCGTTTATGTATTTCTGTAACTTGATAAGATCTCTAATAGCACAGTTTAGCAGTGGAAAATGAGAAGACACGACTTGTGTCAATTTACTTGAAAGCATTAAATCGATTGCAGCCAAGTAAAAATTCGTTTTCCATGGAAAAAAAAATAGGTATAAGCACACGATTACATCGATACTTGTAATTGGATTGGCTGTGGCAATAATGACCAGTTTTTTTGAATATTATATTCTTCATGTTTTATTCCGACGATCGATTTCTTCTGAAATGCTTAGAAGAAAAAAAACTCTTCTAGTAGATTCATTATCTATCAAATATTATTTACGAAGCGCATATTCTCATGCCGACCCCGAAAAAACGAACGAGCGCGCGCGTCCAAGAACAGAACAAAGCGGAAGCAGAAAAAAATCTGTAAAATGCAAATTGTTCGATCGATACAAATTGAACACAATTGACATTATTTGTTTTATATTTTTTCTCTTGCTTCATATAATTTGCATGCGTGTTTGCGTGCGCTTCTTCTTGGTGGTGCCTTTTAACATTCACATTCTCGCTGCACTTCACTTGACATTTTTTGCCGCACACAATTCGCCGCAGATTCGATTGCAAGATTATTTTACAGTTTGTAGAAGAAAGCAATGAGCGCTGAAAGCGCATCATGGTGTCTTGAGTGTTTATTTGCTGGTTGGATGGCCGCGCTGGTTTTGTATCGTATCGCATACGCTATCGAATCAATGCTAATTGTCGGTGCGTCAAAAAGAACTTTTTTTTGATGATGATTCACACAAAACAAAGCGTAAAAACCAGAAGACGAAAGAAACACAACAGCCAAAAAGGCTGCAAAGCCGCTGCTCTTTTCCATTCTTGTGCGATGCATACAATGGATTAAATTGACATTTCAATAGATGCAAACTGACTGCCTTTTACGCATTTCACACAACAGCACCGAAACTGTGATAACTTCGAACTCTTCGAACACATCCAGCCCAATTGACCGTTTCGCACACTTTGTTTACACATCAGTAGCCGTGCTGTAGTTCAGATTGTCGCATTTTGTGTATTTCTTCTCGAATAATAACGATTGAACGAGTGACAAAGTACAATGTTGAATCAATGTGAAATTCAACGAAACGATACAAAATCGGCACCGATCGGGTCTGCTTAAAAGAACGTGTGTTCATGCATGTATCGGGTTTTTGCAAAACAGATTTTCAAATGCGACTGATTTAAGTATTCCGATCATGTGAATGCGCTTACTCGGATGACAACGCATACATATTGCATTAAAGTGCAAAAGAATGATCAAACGGATTAATACACTATGATTTTTATCATTGAATCGATCAATTAATGTTTAACACACAATTTTATGCAGTGTCCTTTTTCGCAGTCCGCTGTGATTATGCATTTGCGCCAACCCAGTGAGCAATTCTGACTATAAATATATGCATAAACCATAGGCATATAATGTGTATACAAGTATGCCTTATACAGGCCTCACTAACATTGTATTATTATACAGAATTGTGCCTATTTCAGGCATATGGTCCACTTTAGTAATTTTATAATGTGATTGGTCCATTGACTATACATATCTCAGGTCTATTACAGACATACAAATAATGGGCCTGGTCAGGCCTGCGCTGCCATATAAACTACATAGAAAGTGCGTTACAAAATCACCATCCTAACAGGCCTAAATCAAGACATTTTTGCTCATTGGGAATAAAAAAAACTTTTCAATTACTACGTCCAAATGCAGTGCCATTTGAAATGGTTTGGCTGAATATGTTCGATCCTAATGCCATTTGGTCGTATTTGTTTCAATTTTCGTTCGAAGGTTGCGGGCGGGCGGACGGACGGTGGCGGCGGCATTCGTTTAATCAACATCGCAAATATTCGTGCATATCTTTTTAGCTGTGTGCAGCTTTCGACTCAATTCGATTATCTAACATCCCTTCATTTCCATATTTTCTCGCTCGAACGCCGGATATGCTATCAGCTTGCTTGCACACGTATATACACGCATATCGCAAATGCAGACACAAACCTGCAAAATCGTCTGGAGTGGATGTCAAATTCGACTCGTGTTCGCTTAAAGCAGCGCTCATCGCTCGCAGCTCACACAGCTCAAACTCTCACCGCCACCGCTCACACAGTAGATTCAACAATAACAATATTTTTTTTATAGTGATCCCCTATTTAAATATGAACCACTCGCTTATCGCTTGCATACGTATATATTTGTTGGTGTGCAATCTCTTTCTCTCGCTGCTCTCGGTGTGTTATCCATCTCTCGATTTGCACGCCACGTATTCGCTCCAGGAGACAGAAAGAGACAGCGCGAGAGTGAGAGAG